CGGGGAAAACATAGTGCAGAAGAATTTGTATTGACAAGCAGAAACAAAATATATAAGATACTGACCTGATATGATTCTGACCTTAACAACTGCAGACAGTTTGTTGACAGCAAAACTTTTTTTTTTGCTCTCATTTTTCATAAATTTGAATTTTTATATCCATCACCGAAGAATGAAGGGTAAATTGATTTTGTCAAAACGTTTGCAACGCCCAGAAGGAAACTACAGAGTCACAAAGTATATCCGGATTTAAGCATGTCCGTCGGTCCGTCAAAATGCAAAATGAGAAAAAAAAAAACATCGACTTGTCAGAAAAATTAGAAGTTCTTGCACGCAGGTTAGTATTGAAAATAAGCCACATGGGTCGAAGAACCCGTGTACAGTACCATGTAAGCCGTTAACACATCTCTTTTTCAAAACGAATGAAAAATTGGTTTTTTACTTATTACTCGAAGATTTACAAACTTTTGAATGAAATGGCGATGCTGTAGCACTTGTACAAAAAGAATTATTTCTACCCAATTTAGCAAAATTTAATTTTTTTTTAATACCTTTATAACGCGCGGAAGCGAGCTATACAAAGCTTCAAGCTTCGTCTGACCATCTGTCTGTCTGTTAATTTGTCCATCCGTCCATGAGCCCAATTGGCTCGGTATCTGTGGCACATATTCTCCCGTTCGCAAAGAGGGACCTATCGTCTACAAATTTGAAAAGAGTTTGAAATTGGCGCAAGCAAATCGTAGATCACGCCTACAACGCCCACGCTTGTATATAACCAAAACTGAGAACACCTTAGCTTTCCCTGTCTCTTGCTTGTTGCTCATAAACTACAGAGATACAAACGACATAAATTTCCATAAAATTATTTTACGAAAATAGAAAAAATCAGCCACGCCTATGCAATATTATTAGGTAGGCAAATTTATGTTTTTCCTTTCTTTCAATCTTTCTTACCACAATGGTGAAGGGTGTAAAAGATTTAGTCGGAAAAGAACGTAATTTTCCAAGTTACTTTTTTACCCTCATGTTTTGAGGCAAGCAAGAGGCGCTTTCTCCACTAATGCAAACACAAAAAAGAGGCATTGCACTTACTCGTCCTAGTTTTAAAATGATATCGTAATTGTCATCAACAGTTGTTCATCACACTAAATAATATTATTGGTAACATTTGAAGAGATTACATTGAATAAAAAAAGGTCAACGTAATACAAAAGTATTTTTCTTTAGTGCATATATCTATGTATTTACGTAAAAGGAGATAAAGCTGGAAATGAATGCAATGTAAGCCGATTTATTTTTAGCAAATAACCAATGTGTGGTCAAAATTGTACATCTTTTGTCTCTTATTGTTTACAAACAAAAACTATCATGTTACACATATGCAATCTAAACAAAATTCTTTGCGGAAGTTATTCCACCTATACGAGTACTGAAAAAGGAGAATTAATCCTATAATTTCAAGTATGTTGAGTAATTTGCTTAAACAGCATAGAGATAGAGTGCGCCTACTCTAAGGCTTAATTATTACAGTAACTAAGCTGATCAAAGATGCCTACGGTATTGGAAAAGTACATATATAGACATAAAAAGCAGATATATACGAAAATGGAGATGAAGGGTTACAACGAATTATAAACACCTGTCGCTTTGCTGTCTTCATCTATATTAAATATTTAGATCGGAAAATCTCCATAGTCTCCAAGTTGTGAACCGATTTAGGAGAAAATAAGCTTTTAAACAGGTCCTCTTGCAGACCCAGCAATTAAGTGGCTGCAGATTATTTTATCTGATTTTTCTCAATCATATACGACTCTCTGCTACAATTTGAAGCGTTTTCCAAATCAGACAAAACTTTTAGAATCTTCTTGAATCTTGAAGTTGAAATTTCAAATAACTCTTACACAAAATATATAAGGAGCACGTTAGATTAGGCCAAGCTCGACTGATACACTATTTCGGCTAATATTACTTTTCGTCTATATTCGTCGAAAAATAGGAAAAATTATGACTTGGGGTAATATGAACGCGTACTTGTTATGGCAAAGGCGCCATGTCCATGTGAATCCATGTCCAAATTTTCCACTTTATAAAGTTGTATATAGTTAAGCACATCTTGTTGCCACATAAAAGTTTGTCTTTCTTAAGCGGGTTTCAAAAACAGCTGCTCTCTCTTCAAATTTTTCTCGTCCGCTTTGCTACGTCAAACTGCAATTGCTCACCGATATTGTGATCGATAGCGATGTTTTCAAAATATCACTGTCGTTAATAGAACAAATCCAAACCATTTTTAATACGGTTCCTGCCAGGCCCAGAATTCCTTAAATACCAACCAAAATAATAAAAAAAAAATTTGCGATCTGCGGGTTGAATACCACAAAAAAAACTTTATTGGGCAGACATTGGACGTACAGGCAACGCACACAAACTGTGCGCTAAAAGTGATATACAACATAAAAATAAAATTCTTTTTATATTTTTGATTTTATTAAGTTATGAAATCGACTTTAGGAGGAAGATATCCATTCTCTTTATATATGATTGTATATGGTTAGTATATACAAAAATATCCTTAGAGATTCGAAATTTTGCAAGTTGACATAGGTCTTACTTATCGGTTCTTAGAGTTCAGTTCTCAAACCATTTTGCTTATGGAATACATTTACGCTTACTATGTTCTTGTAGTTTTTAAGTGTTTAAGACTTAAGGAAATCGCTATCAACAGTAGAGCGGACAACTACATGTAAATTTGTTTAATCGGCTTATGATTTGCGACAAGTTAAATAAAATCTTTCCTACTTAATAGCCTAAACTTGTTTAACAAACAATGATACAATATTTATCCTAATCGCCTTGAAGGTAAAACGCCTCGATGAGAGCGTAAGGAAACACTATTTAAAGACAAGTTAACAATTTGAATGTCTCACAAGCGCATCTTCTAAGGGTTTTTGAATACAAGCATTAGTGTTCTTTACATTTTCAGGATCGCCTTTCAAAAGAAAAAGTTTACAAATATCGATCAATTTTTGCATATGTGTGTCCGGCATATTTTTTATATAGCAAAGATCGCATATATGATAAGAAAAAGCAAGGGATAAAGAAAATGATGCGAGCCACCTATGCATCCTTTGTGTAAGAGATGAAGACAGCGAGAAAAACTTTTACTTATTGTAAGTGATTTTCTTAAGGTCCTTTTTTCCCATATCTTTCTTACGTGGGAGTTTAACAAAACTATGTCTTATACATATCCGATGGCGCGACCAAAGCAGAAGTACTCACACTTAACGCTAGACTTGGAATTGACTTGGAAGCAAAGGCAAGCCTTTCAAATTTTTGTGATTACATGTAGTGAGCGTCCAAAATTTATTCCACGTCATAGGGTGAAAAGGAAAAACCGGATAAGAGTGTTCGATTTTTTTATTATATATCTGTTGCAGTTTACAGAGTGAGGAATGGAAAACAAGCCAAAGCAGCAGAAGTGTTTTAGTCTATGTTGCTCTGACGGAGCATACCCCCCCATTTGAAGTATTTTCAATGCCAATCTTAATTTTGGCGACCGCGAGAGTGCTTACAGGACACATTATACAGACGAGTGGATAAAATAGACGGATAAACAGGCAGATGGGTAGGCTTAAAACGAGTCCGAATTTGATGCTGATCCACATGGTATAGACTTTGCAGAGTCTGTGAAGCTTGCTTTCTTATTAATTGGTGGTGAGTGTAAAAAACGATAGCAGTCAAGTCTTTTAACAACAGGTTTCATTTCAAGTTACCCGTTATTTCCGAATTGTTATAACTTTGATAAAGTAAAAGTAGAAGGTTTCTAAATATAGATCAGGAGACTTTAGACGTGGCGGACATTAACACACGCAAAAATGTAAAAAAGGAGGAAAACGTGACGGACGCATAACATGCAAAACTGAATAAAACAATGATTTAAATGAAGTTTAATAAAGAAAAATAAAGAAATAATAAAATAAAAAAAAAAACAACTTTGTGTTCAGAATGGATTTCATTTTTTACAATGCAACGAATTATTTGTTGTCAACTTGCTGAAAATTTAAGAAGAAGAAGAAGATAGATCAATACAAAGTCGCGCAAGCCATCGAAGTAACGAAAATTCATTATGGAAAAATTTTAAAGGAAATTATTCGAAGGATGAAACTCACTTTCATCTAACCGAAAAGCCGAGAGGTATAGTAGGACAGCTTCTTAACCACTGCGGTATGATTTTTGTGATAGGCACGCAGTGGCGTAATGTTTTCTCAAAAAGGCTGCTGGTTCCACTCCATACAACGAATAAAAAAAACCCAAGAACTAAATATCGACAAGTAAGAAATTGCAGAGAATGAATAAGAAAATGATCTCTAAAAGAATCGCTGAAGAAGGGGAAAGAGAAAACTGTTATCGGAAACGTAAAGATGGGGAAAAATATGTCAAATTTTTCAAAAGCTGTTCGCTCTTTCTCTTCTTTAGGCTTAGGACGCTCGAAGAAATTTGTGGTGTATTTCAAGTAAAGATAAAGATGAGATAAAGGGAGAATTGAAAATCCAGGTCAAACAAAGCCGAAAGAAGCACTTAATTAATATTCTTCAAATCGGAAAGACCCTCTCGTACTTATTTCAAAAATCATTAAAATTCTTTCAAATTTCCATTGGGAGGTGTACTCATACCCGGAATTGCGGTTCCGTAAAAAAGTGTAAGTTGACCAATAGTTAACTTGCCAAGAAAGCCTCACTCTACACTCTTCTTTAAATCAAGTTGTATTTGATGCACATTTTACAAATGATGACAATTAATAACTTCTGTATATTGTATGTTGGCTTCCGTTATGTAATAAAAAACTTCAAATAGTTTATAAAATAAATAAAATTTTTATTAAAATTAAAATCACATTCACACTTAACACTAACGAAAAGACGTCATTTCGTAAACATCAAAAAAAAAAAAAGAAAAACTGTTTCTTAAACAAAAGAAAAAAAAAAACTTTTCTTTGGATCCATTCATGAAATTTCTAAGATATTCTCTTCCGGATCAGGGCTTGAGGCATTTGATGACAATGTCGATTCATAATTTTCTTCTTTTTCGCGTTTTTCACGTCGCTCGCGCGCCCGACGATTTTGAAACCAAATTTTTACACGTGTATTAGTTAAATGTAACGAATCAGCTAATTGGTTGGCTTCTTCAGCACTTAGGTAGGTGGATTTTTTATAGGCGTTTTCTAGAGCTTGTAGTTGAGCGGATGTGAATGGTATACGTGGTAAACGGCCGGGTGTTCGCTTACTAACGATACCCTGACGCATTGATCCTAGGGTAAGAAGCATACGTGGAAATGTAAAATATTAATTTATTTGCTTAATGAGGAGAAAAACCAACTTGACACTTTAGGCGGATGATAACGTGTGTACTGTAACCAATCAAACATGGGCAGTTGATGAAGTGACGAAGGATTTAATTGCTGTTCTTTGTGGGGTTGAGCTTTTTTTAAAAATTCCATATTCAAATTTAGAGCATACGGTGGCAAGTCGTGCACCTTTGAACGTTGCCTTAAATCTAAGGAGCCGTTTGTCCCCAGATATCTTTCCCCGGCTCTATTTAAAATGTAATCAATGCTGAAATCACTCATTTTCGTATAAATAAAAAAAAAAAAAAGAAGAAAAGTAAATAATTATTGTTCCTGTTAGCTACTACACGGTCTAAATTGTTTAATGATCTAACTTACACTGATGTTCATTTTTGTAATGTTTTCAGATTTTAAAGGATCTGTGAAAGCCGACGCCATATTTTTCTTTTTTCTTTAAATCAAGATTGTTACTTGTTTCTTTCCTTCTTCTGTCTCTTTTCGAAGCATATTTGAATGATTTCATTCATAGATGCCTTCTATGCTATTTATCGAAAAAAAAAAAAAAAACAGAAGAGAAAAGGGCGTTCCTCAAACCACATACGAATCATACCAGCAAACACGCGCCATTCATTTACAGGTAATGGTGGTGTGACTGCTGTTCGCAGTGCCAAAGACATTATGTTTTTCATTTATCTTATTATTTATTCATTAATTCTTTCATTCATGCATTCTGATGTTACCCTTATCACGTAGCAAAAGACTACAGACAAAGGAAAAAGTGATACTGTAGCAGCCTAGGAAAACTAATACCAAGTTCACTGTTTAGTAAACTAAAGAAGGGAGCTTTCCTTTTTTCTTTTTTTTTTTTTTTGCAGAGAATTTCAATTGTTTTCTCGATTCAAAGGATACGCTCACATACATACGTATAATTATTATAATGTTCTCTCTCCGTTCTTGAGTTTTGACTGATGGGAAAACAAGTTGAGCGTTATATTTTATTGTTGATGGACGCATATAAACATATTATGCATACACATTACGGGAATTTCCCTCACATATGGGCGGCAATATCGATTTCATAAACGACCAGTGAATATTTTTGGATTAAAAAATTGAATTTAATTACTTCTTTTGCCTTAATTTAATTAAACGAAATTTTCTGTTTAGATCGCTTAACAATTAATTACATGGTGGAGATATTTTCTAATTCTATCGTTGAAGATCTAATGAGCATCTTTCATATACTTTGTGAGGGTGTTTCTTCTTCCAATTTACATGCTCAATGTAAATATCGAAACATTCTGTTTTTCACTTTTTTCCGAAGTTATTTCAGTTGTATGCGAAACAAACGCTGACAAACGCTTTCTTTGTATATCCTCTCATATTGGAATTGACGATAATGAGCAGAATCAATATATATATGAATCGCTCCGTCTTTCTCAGCCTATCACTTCACCGTATAGGTCCATTAAACCCGCTATTCATCTCGATCATTGGCATCATTCCGAGGTACTTTTGCAGTCACTCAGTCCTTCAGCGAGCTACCCGAACTGAATGGATTTTCTTAGCTCGCGTTATAATAAATAAAACTTCCTTCGAAATTAAATAATCAAAACATTATTATAAACGTACGGCACCTGTCGAAAGTGCATCTTGTAATGCCTCCCTTTTTATCGTCCATATTTTACATAACAGTAACTAATATGTGTTTGCATGTATTTCGGCCAACAACATCTCTCGGTGAAAATGATAAATTAATGCGAAGTTTCGATGTACACAACGGTTGAATTCTATGGTTTTGACCTTTCTCTCTCTCCACACAAAATAAAGATTTTCCATTTAGCATTATTGAATTATTCAGCGTTCAGTTATTGGTTAGTTCAGGGTAGCCATCCATACCGACACCTAAGCGGAATATTCAGGGCCATAAAGTTTTACTGCACGTATGGCGCGATCAGCAAGGTGTAGTGTATTACGAACTGCTAAGACCGAATGAAACTGTTGCTGCAGATGTGCTTCGCCGTAAATTCAATAAATTAAACGATGCATTGTGACAAAAAAGAGTAGCGATGGCGGTTAATAGACGCAAAGTCATCGTCTGGCAAGACAATGCAAGAGCTATCAAGGACATACTGCGGCAGCTCGAATGGGAAGTTTTGCCTCACCCAGCGTAGTCACGACACACAGAGTTTTCTAATTACCACTTGGTCCCATCAATGCAGTATGGCTTGACTGGCTCGGAGTTCCGAAGTGCTGAAAAAGTGTGGAGTTGATCGCTGCCAAAGTCATTCTTTCGACACGGTCTCGCCATATTGCTAGAAAGTTTCGAAAAAGTTATAAATGATGATGATGAAAAAAATTTGGACAGTATATATTATACCAACTTTTCAAGTGACACAATGGACAAAACACATGCAGGCAACTAACGCTAAAACAAAAATTAAACCTTCTTCTTATTAGATGGTTGCGTCAAATTTTCGAAAAATGTTTTCCATCACTTTCTCCAAGATTTTACCATATTTCTAGGAAGATGACTGGGAAGCTATTGCCTCGAAAGAACTTATATTGGTTTGGCAGCTTCAACTTTGCGAAGAGACGTGCCAGCCATTTCACGATGCATTGACTGTCCTTATGAATGTTCGAAATCAAAGGCTTAACGTTCCTTTAGCAAATAGTAGGAAAATAAACAGAACCACTTAGAACTTTGATCAAAATCTTTATTCAGCCGGCTGTAAATTCCCGATCAGTTATAACATTACATTCAACTCTTCGCAATTTTTGTGTCATAAGAAAAGTTTAATTTTTATACTCATCACTGAAGGATGAGCGTCTTGCAACGGCCAGAAGGAAGCATCAGAGACCCTACAAAGTGTATGTGTTCTTGATCAGCATTAAATCCTAAATCGATTTAAGCATGTTGTAAAAATTTGCAAAATAATTTGGAGTTGACTTAAATTTTTCAAAGGACACGCCTACAATACCCACATGCCAAAAACTTTCATTTTGAAAATAGGAGAAATCAACTGCGCCCACTCCATATTATGGAGCATGAGATATTTGTTCTCTTACTTCTTTTGTCTTTTGTTAGGTGTAAAAGGTTCGGTTCCGACCGAATTTAATTTTCTCACTTATTATTATACGCATCATATTTTCCTTAATTCTGTAGTGAGCTTTTCGATTTTCTTGGGATATTGATCACATCCCTATAAAAGCTAAACTCGTCTTGCTGCCATCGCTAATCTTTCTTTCTGTCTTTGATGGGAAAGGAATTTAGCAATACTTTCACAATACTTTACTAGCACAAAATATTTTGCTCTTTAACGCTAATCTTCTTAGAATCCTATCAGTTTAGGTAAACACATATGAAATACGCAATTTTTCGAAAATTTAGAACGTAAAAGCTTAAAAGTATTAAGGAATTAAGGAATTTTCAGTCGATTGATCGAAGATCGGCCATCTTGCAAAGATGAGTTTTACTTGTTAATGAGAAAACCATGTCTTTCGAGCAAGTCTCACAATATAATTGATAGATGCGGACAGCGCTTACTTCAAAACGACTATCTAATGGATTAGTAGAAAATCAGCCAATTGAAGCGACCACAGTTCATAAGATATTTTGCCTTTTTTGACTAAAGGTGATAGGTATTAAAAGCCCGCTCCAAGAATTTCCTTGTTTTCTAGTTTTCTTAACTATTCGCTTCTCCTCTTTTATGCCATATATGCTCATTTTATTTTTACGGTTTAAACCACTTGTGATATACGGTATATTAAGCTGGGTGTAAAGACGTACGTAGCACCCAGAAGAGCCACTCTTCTATAAACCAATCTTAAGCTTATCTGTCTATCTGTCCAGACATTTTGTATTCAAACCACAACTGCTGGTCGCAATTTTTGAGATATTTTGATAAAAGACGGACGGTATTGAAAATAGTTTGGGTCGGCCAGGGGAAATTTTTCAAGCAAGCCTTTCAAAGCGTCTAATTTTTAATATTTCATGGTGAAACCTAGTTCACAATAGCAAATTGACATATAAATCAACCTTACCGAATTTGGACCAGGTACATCTATATTTTGGATACCACGGCATATAAGGATTGCTTTCTTAATGTTTTGCGATGAAAGTTTGTTCATGACAGTAATTTGACATAAAAATCAAGCAAATCAAACATGAAGTATATGCGTCTATTTCTCGGATCCTACTTCATACAATATTTCTCATGAATAGTAGCCCGTTCAGCAACAGATTTAATTTATAATATTTCATGGTAAAAATTGGCGCAATTGGATAGCAGCAATTTAGCACAAAAATTAACGGCAGGTAGATGGTTGATTGCGAAAAGCAAGCTCTTATATAAAGAGAGAGACTAATATCTGGTTTTTAAAAAAAAATAAAAATAAAATTTTGGGGAAATAATTCAAGTTTGCTAAATTTCGATCACGTAATGTTTTGTTTTGGACATCGTTCAATATGCGGGCTTTCATGAAAAGTATACCTTCGCATGAAAATGATGGGAAGTGGGTAAGATATCTAATGGTCGGCCTTGCCCAACTACAGTCAAATTTGTTTTACTTACACTAGAATGAGTGAAACGAGTAGATGGCACCTGCTCGTCGGGTACCGTTAACATCATTCATTATCAATATTGTTACATCACTGCGTTGCATTACTTAAAAGAGTTAAGGTCTTAAATTCATAAATACTTGAACTTATCTTAAAAAATTGACCTTGGCGAGAAAATGAGTACCAGGGGAAAGCCGATGGGGCTTAAAAAACACCCAACGAAAATGAGTTCATTATATTTTTGCTTGATGCTATGAGGAAAAGAAAATTGAATTTTATAAAAATATGATTTGAACTCTAAATGGATTTCCGTTCATCATGTTTGTCGGTTTATTTAATAGAAATTTGGTGAGATTTTTGTATTGATTTTTTGCTATCGGGAAAAGTCTTTCTAAAGCGATTAAGGCAAGGCAAATTTTTAATCGGCAGACTGCACATGAGAATACTGGTAAATGCGTAAAAAAGATAAGGAGTCAGAAGAAATATTGCATCTGCAAAATAAATTTGAAGTAAACAAAACGAAATGTAAATAAAACCAAACAATATTTGTATTTTTTACCTATTTTCGAATGAAGAGCATTTGCGAAGAAAGAAAGTCTTTCATTACAGCCATTAGCCATTAATAAAGGTTGTAATTGTTCATATTAATAATGTTGAGGTTTGTCAAGTATCAAGTGATTTATCAAAATTGACGATCTGTTAACAATGTTTTTGTAAACAC